TAAATTGATTATTACGTTTTAAATATGGTTATTTTTCTTACAAAAACGCATCGATTCGCTACAGGAGGCCTTTGTTCATCCCCCGGAGCCGTGTGAGACACTTTTTATTAAGGATTGGCGCTTTTTATTTAACTTCTTTTGGATTGATGCATGAAACAGCTTGAAAGATCAAAGACAATTTTTAATATAACTCCGACTGGATTTGTCTGAAAGAAGAAAGTCATATACACCTAGGATGACTTGAGGGTGAGTCATTTATGGGTTAATTTTCATTTTTGGGTGAACTAACCCTTTAAGTAAAGTAAACAGTTTGCTGGCCTTTTAGAGATACAGTGATCTTTGTGCACTGTTTTAGTCTGAGGTTAAGATAATATTTTTGCACTACCCCTGTGCAAATAAAATAAAATAATACACATGAACATCAAAATAACAATAATAATAATGAAATAATAAACATCAATAATTACTTTTTACCATGATTATATATATATTTTTATAAATTACATATTTTCACTATAATAATAGTTATAACGATAGTTATTATAATTTTTTTACATTTAGATTACTATCTAATGCTCACTCAAAGCAAATTTTTAAAAACCCAAATCATTCAATAATGCTTTTAAATGTAATCTTTAGCAAACCTCAAAAATGAATATCCATTTTTCATACTATACATTGTAATATTGAGATGCCTAAATGATCTTGTAGCATTTAAAACAATTTATTTATTTATTTTTATTTACCCGTAATAGTATTTTTTTAGCCATTTATTGGTTTTCTGCCATATCATAAAATAATTACTGCTAACTGATCAGTGGTCAATTATACAATTTAGTGGTCATTATATAAAAATATTTGACCATAGAATATCCCTAGAATAAAGCTCTCTACTGTTTATACCAACCCCTGTAGGGCTGAGTGAATTACCATTGGGACAAGAATCATAAATATGTACAGAGTGCGTCATCTTCCCTTTGATTAATAGCTTGTGGCAAATTGAGATCTGCGAAGGTTCCTTCACTCACAGTGATGTCACCAGACACTGTTGTTTTCTGTAAACATGTCGCCCTCCCTTCTTTTTCCTCTTTTTTTCTTTAGAAGAGTTCAGCAAGCAAGTTTTAGATAACCTCTTTGGAAGTGGTATGCACTTCCTGCCTGATTCCGCTTTTAAACAGGGCCAATATAATCTTGGTGGTGTGGGAGCATTTGGGAACATTGTGTTTCCCAGGATCCCATTTCAGTATTGCTGAGTGCGATCTTTTGAGCACAAACAGCTCTCTGAGTCTCTGCATTCACTACTGGATTCATCTATCCTATTTTAAGACAATAACCATCTACTTACAGAAGACCCCGCACATTAATTACTGAGCTGAGGAGAAATGGGCACCGTTAACCGCTGATTGAACTGTTTGCATTGACTAAACGATGTAATTGCTCTTCCTTTTGGTAGAGATGTGGAGAGAGGCTCTTTTCTCTGCCACTGCACTTCTGAATGCAAAAAATGGAGCCATGTGGAATAGGAATCTCATTTTTGGCAGTGCCATAAGCTGAAATCAAGCCATTACACTTTGTTCTGGAAATGCGATGACGCACAACATGGCTGGCATGCTGGGAGTTTTGGAATGAGTATCCAATAATCAATATATCGACTTATCGCGCAATATATGTACATAACCTCAATAATTTTTGGTGACGCAATATATCGCCCATTATATTTACTTAAAAATTTACATGACCATGTTTTGTGCGTTCCACTTGCGCCTGTGTCTTTTGCAACTTCTCGTACATAACATGGTGTAGTCATGAGGTGCTCGTTCAAATTTTAAAAATGCTTCTACAAAAGTTTCATCTGCAGATATGGCCTTGTTTAGGTTCTATAGTTTGTTGTCATTTGGAAGTGTGTAGGCCTTCTTGCATTATTATGCTGTTACATTATGATTATATATTCATTATATATAAATTTTATTCAGTTGCATAAAATGGTACTTAATAACAATAATATCGCTTATCGCAATTATTTCTGGGGCAATATATCGCACAACAAAAAGTTGTTATCGTGACAGGCCTATCCGTTGACTCTTCCATCTCTTCTGTGTCCCCTGCTGCAGACAGCACATCACACACAGAGTGCTGGGAAATTCACTCAAGCGTCCAATGATAAATGTTTTGATGAGTCAACGGCAGTGATGTTGTTGCATCAAAAATGAGTGGTCTTTGAATGTGGAGGTGAGTGGAGCCAGGTTAGAGCGTCTCATTGGATGAGATGCTTGTGATATCATCTTTTGTTTCCCCACTGCAGAGGTGACCTGTTTTTGTGAGAGAACTGATGAGTGACGTGGCAGGGGGCTGTGTTAAGCGCAAATGTGTGTGTTTTCACATATTAACCATTGCTTAGGCTCGCGGGACTATCACTTACCATATGATCTGTGGACAGGAGTTACCGGTTTCAAAATGTCCTTCCAATTTTCTCATATCATAAACACAAAGACTTATCAACACCAGCTTACTGCTCTTTTTTGAGAGTTGATTTTTGGAAATAGAGTAGGACTGCCCCCTAGTGGCAGTTCTCACCAACATGTCAAAATTGTTCTATTTGACAGTATTACAGCATTACGTGTGTGTGTATATATATATATATATATATACATATAAAATTTATTTTTAATTTTTTTACTTTAAGTTGTTTTTAAAGCTATGTCTGAACTGAAAATTGACTACAATGTTTTTCTGTGTGACAGAACCGTCAGCTGTTGAAGGATGGCTTCATGGTGGAGCTCGTTGAAGGGGCTCGGAAACTACGCCATGTTTTTCTCTTTACTGACCTCCTGCTCTGTGCCAAACTGAAGAAACAGATTGGAGGGTGGGGAAAATCTCTGTTTTCTCTCTCCCATCTACTCCTTTCATTTCTATCTTTCTATAATTCTGTCTGCTCTGTCATCTCACTCTCTTCCCATTTTTAATAATGGATCAGTTCTACTCTTATTTACCAAATAGGTATTGTTGAGTCAGATACATTGGTATTATTTTCACAACCTGAGCCTAACATCCTGGCTCTTCAGACCTGTGGGCCCAGCCTGCACCAACATCAGTGCTCTATAATCAGATTTCAGGATGTATTTTTGCCTGGATATTAAATTATTTTCCCCATCACCCCATTTCCCCCTTGTGCTGTCTGTCTGCAGTAAGAGCCAGCAGTATGACTCCAAGTGGTACATTCCTCTCTCGGACCTCACTTTCCAAACGGCAGAAGAGTCTGAACCCATGCCTATCCCACAAGTCCCTGATGAGGAGCTGGATGCCATTAAGATCAAAATCTCGTCCCTGAGGAGTGACATCCAGAGAGAGAGGGTACAGGATATTTTAGGAAACTTTTCACTCAAATTATCGTGCCGATGATATAATTTGTAATCATTTTTATGAAACTAGAAAGATTGTGAAAAAAAGTGTTCTCAGACTTATAGACCCCATTGTATGTATTAATAGTTCTATATTCATATGTATAAAAAGATTAAAATTTGTTTTAAAAAATGCTGTTCTTTAAACTTTATATTTATCAAAGAAGCCTGAAAAAATCTAAGAAAAATGCATCACAGTTTGACCAAAAAAAAAATATTAGGCAACACCGCTTTTTTCAACATTGATAGCTTTGCCATTACAGGAAGAATTTTCATTTTAAAATATATTGAAAAAAAGAATAATATATTGTTAAAACAGCTATTTTAAACTGTAATAATATTTCACAGTATTACTGTTTTTACAGTTTTTGATCAAATAAATTCAGCCTTGGTGAGCATAAGAGACTTCTTTTAAATACAAAAAAACTTTTACAAAAACTTCTGAAATAGTGTATATTTGACTGTAAAAAGCTGTGTCTCAAAACCTTCTGACCTAGACATAATTTTCTGGGCAACATACATGCATTCAGAAGTTCATGAGACAGCTTACTCGATTTTAAGATTATTTTTTGCTTGTTGCCTCAACAGAGGGCCAACAAAGGGTCAAAGGTTATGGAAAGGCTGAAAAAGAAGCTGTCGGAACAGGAATCGCTACTGCTGCTGAACTCTCCTAACATGCCCCTCAGAGTACACAACCGCAATGGAAAGGTAAGAGCCAGTGAATCACAGCCTTTCTGTCCTATCTGATTTTCATCCTCACACTCCTTTTCAACATTCCTGCTCATGCTCACAGTCCATGTCGGTTATGCATTTCAGAGCTACATGTTTCTGATCTCATCGGACTATGAGCGTGCCGAGTGGAAGGAAGTGATCCGAGAACAGCAAAAGAAATGTGAGTGGCATTGTCACTGAAATCAGCAATGATAGTGTTTTTTTGTTTTTTTTTCCAACTGAACACTTGCTCATTTTGCAGGCTTTAAGACCTTCAGCCTGACATCCATGGAGCTTCAGATGCTCACCAACTCATGTCTCAAACTCCAGACGGTCCATCAATTACCCCTCACTGTCAATAAAGAGGGTAAGAAAGTTGCACAGGTCTTACAGATAATATGAAATCAAAACTGTTTACAATCTTATCAGTTTTTCCTGGATTTCTTGGGCATGATTCTTCAATGCACAAAAAAGGGTTAAATCAAAATAAAATGTATAATATTTTTCCACATCTTAAAACAACCTTTTCTTTTCAATAATGTAATGTCTTATCCATAGCAATCTAATCAAATTACAGAGAAAAATCCAGAGAATATAATTTTTATTTAATAATATTTTTTTATTATTATTGTGATTCTGTTGTATTGTATTTTAATATTTCTTTTTTTTTAAATTCTAGACATGTTTTGAACAGTTTCTCTACTTTTTTCTCCACCTATAGAGGATGAGTCTACTGGACTGTACGGATTCTTGAATGTAATTGTCCATTCTGCCTCTGGACTTAAACAGAGTTTAAGTATGTGTCTCTTTCCTTATTCCTCTCTGTGCTCATCAAAGGTCATGTACACATTTACTTAGCCTGTCCTAACACCCTGTAAAGAGCCAGTATCTTACAGATCCTCTTACCCCTTCCTCTCTTTAGATCTGTATTGCACATTAGAGGTGGACTCCTTCGGCATCTTTGTGAATAAAGCCAAAACAAGAGTGTACAGATACACCACAGAACCCAAGTGGAATGAGGTAATCCCATGTGACCATGTCTATACACCATCAATACCAAAAGACCTGCCTGCTGAAATACTCTTGAGGCATTAATTCTTAATTAAGAACAGCAGAAGCGAGGCCATATGGAATATGAAGGCCTTCTGGACAAATTATATTACATTTTAATTAAGAGCAATTACCATCCCCAAAGTTAAGGGGGGGGACGAGGAAATGAGGCATGACAGGTGTTAAGTCTGGTCAAAAGTACCCTTAGACTGTTTTGTGAAGCAAATTCAGAAGTTTTTCTGGGTAGTCTCTGTGTTTTATTATTAATAATAATGTTGTTATTATTATTCTCATGGTAGCTATGTATATGTTTGTTATGTGTATTTGTTTTATTTGTTCTGGGTAATGTAGTTCTTCTGTATTGTTTCTGCCTCAGGAGTTTGAGATTGAGTTGGAGGGCTCCCAGACATTACGTCTACTGTGTTATGAGAAAAGCTACAACAAAGCTAAGATGAACAAGGAGGATGGAGAGAGCACTGATAGAATTATGGGCAAAGGACGAATCGCGGTATGATCTTCACTGAAAAAACACTAACAAATTTGAAAGTGTTGTTTTAGTATTACTGTTAATATTCTGAAATGGCTTTTTTATATTTTTAGTTCTCATTAGTTTAGGTTTTATTAATTTTATGTGCTTTTTGTCACCTTCATTAATTTTTCTTATATTTATATTTATTTTATTTTAGTTTTAGTAATTATAGTATTTCAACAGTACTATTTTATTTCAATTTATTGCTAAGGCAAAATTTTTAATTTTCATTTAAGTTTTTCATCTAGTATTTATATTTTATTTCAGCACGTTGCAATTAGTGAAAACGATTTTTAATAGTTTTAGTTTTAGTTAAAAATAACAACACTGGTTGGAACCACCCAGGCTCTTGCTATAAAAATTTCAACCAATAATGGAGTATAATGATATGAGAATGGTCGACGAGTCATCCGTCAATCCCACTAGTCAATTAGTGAGGTTTTTTTTTTGTTATTTTTCATCTTAATTGGCATCTATAAATCGATAAAATGTCTCAATCTTGCCTTGTGGACTTGACTCTAAACTAGGCTATTTATACAAGACTTATTAATGATTCACACAACCCACTTACTAGTCATTTTTACAAACCCCTACTGGTTAACAGGTTGTGTGAGTTGTGAGCATAAATTTGCTTGGCTCATGTGAACTATTGTGAGCTAAGTGTCATTCTCCATCTGGGCCCTCAGTGAGTCTCGGTCAAAGGTATATCTGCTCTTATGAGAGACACAGTCCCAGATGGGGACTGGCCTTTATACTCCAGACATTTAATCTGCTTTTTAATAGGTAGGCTGTTATTCACTCTGCCCTGGCTTTTTAGGCATCAAATCATCTATAATTCATGTGTCCTGTCTGAAAATGTCACACTCAAAACAACGTCAGATCAGCTGACCTATCAGTCCCCTCCCTAGAGAGTTTTGTGGGGTCTCTTGCCTCACAAATGATTGCTTGTAATTCTAGGTTTGGATGCTTTTAGTTTCAAAGCGTCGGTTGGTGTATCGTGGGGGAAGGGGGAGGGATTAGGGGGCTGTGCTATGATCCCTCTGTAGTCCTGAAAGCAGACTTGTTTTAGACGAGCCCCCCCCCATCAGCCAGCTGTGACTTTGGAAAGCTCTGTCCTAGTCCCTAAGTCATAAAATGCATTATTGTTGGGATCATCTTTCTTTTGTGTATTTAAGTAATGTGGTCTTTGTAAAATCAAATAATTTTCTTCTTAAACAATATGATGATTTATTGCTTTGCTATTTGGTAGGGATGCTCCGATCAGGATTTTTGCAGCCGATACTGAGTACCGATTTCTTGTCATGGTGATCGGCCGATACCGATGCAGATTCTGATGCTTCAAGCTTTATATAGACGGTTTCAATGGGCGCACGCGCCTGGCCGGAAGTTAACTTCCGGTCTCTGTTTGTTTATCAGTCTGGCTATGGCACCGGCTACAAATGCAGTTGCATTTATGATCACTGCTGGATCAAGCCGCTGCATTGTTTTTTTCCTGAGGTAATCCAAAGCTTCTTGAGGTATGGTAGAATAAACATGAGCACGTACTGCACATTTAAAAATCAAAACAAGGTGCGGGTGTTTTTATGTCACTGTATTTCTGAAGGAAGACTATCTTTAGAAAATTTGAATTCGATGTCATTTTCATTTCATCTTGCATGTTATATGCCTGATAAAGCAGTGTTTGTGAGCTCAGCGCTGCTTTGTGTACAGCTGTTACTGGG